ATTACCTGTTCTAATTTTCCACAAGTTTTAAAAGTCACTGGAGGAGCTACTGAGCATGTCAGTATGCATTCCATCACCTTTGGAGTGCCTCTGAAATATACTGAGAGGAGTCATAGCAGGATAGAGGTTGTTTTGCCCAGGCACTGTGACAGCAAATGGCCCTTTCAAACCAGATGGCTTGAATGTCATTGTTCATATCTGACGAAAGAGCTCTCATAGTCCAAATTCAGCCTTAATTTGAGTCAGCAGGGTCGTCTGGTGACAAAATTGTTTGGTGGGAGGTTTAGCAAAATATGATTTAGAAGCAATGCTGCATGTGGAGTTTAAAACAGAGTTTTTTTGTGCAAGAAGTTGTAGTGATTGTAGTTATTGAAAAGGCTTTTTTTTTTTTTAAGTGACAGGAGAAGTGCCGTAGATCTTTATCCTAGTTTGAGAAGCTGAATGTTTTTGCATTTGTGTGTGCTTTTAGTCTGCAGCTGGTCCTGCAGTAGGTATGATTTCTGATTGCTCCAGTGGAGGCTACCATGGCAGGGGTGGGAGGTGTGAAATCTTATGGAACCCTTGAGAGTCAGATAACTGGGTTGAGGAAATCATTGCTTATTTTATTTATTCTGAAGTTCTCAAATGAAAATTCTGAAGCAAATCCACTTTTCTAAAATCAAAATTTTTTCAGACATTATATAATAGAGAGTTTTAAGGAGTTGCCAGTCTTGAACTAGTTACTGAAGAAAAGCAGATTATGCAACTTTCACATTGGCAGTTTTATTGCCAGCTACAATTCCAGCCCTCCTACCAGATGACTGATCTTGCAGCCTTATTAAGACCTCTCATGGTCTTTCCTTTTACTTTGTGTAATTTATAGGCATGTTTTCAAAGGGAAACAGTTATGTTTTCTATACCTTCAACTGCATTCCTGTCTTCTGCAATAATGCACCTAATTTGTGAAGTACAATGACAATTAATAACCCCCTTTTTTATTTACAAGTCAGGTAGTGACTTTATTTATAACACTTCACTGTTTCAGAAAACACCCATTGCAGTTACTCATACATATTTCCCTAAGGAGTGAAAAAAACATTCAAAAAATAATGAAGCCTGCTCCAAACTGGATATCAAAAGCTGGCAGGAAATCTTAAGTCCAACCCTATGGGAAAAAATAATGGTCTGTGGAAAAAACTTTTTTCTGTATTATGTGTCCTTTTTACAGAGATGTAATGAGATTTTGTTGGTTTTGTTATTTGTCTTCAGATATGAGAGAATTCGTAGGTTTTGCTTCTCCCCCCTAATTTTTGGACAATCTGAAGTGCTGTATTCTGATGCATGTTGTACTCACTTCTTTTGAGCCCTCCCTTCACTTTGCTGTTACTATCTCCTTCAAAGCTTTTAAAACAATTTTCAGACCATTTTGTTTTGCTACTTTAGGAAGGTTGTTGTGGTTTATCGTTTCTCATATGTATGCCTTCCAGTTTAACTGTTACTGTATGACTTCTTTTACCTGAGCCAAACTTGTAATCAGTGAGGGACACTGTTTAAAACTTCTTCTGGATTTTTGATACGTGATTAATTATTTTTCATTTAAAAGAGAGTGTGGATCATAATTCATAAAAGAGAAAGGAAGCCCTAGAAGTTCCTAACTAAGGCATTGTGGTTTATATGATGACTGAAGTAGTTCTTTGGTAGTGGTTTGACTTTGCTTTTTTTCCAGACAATATTTGGAAAATCCTTGTCTCATTTATCTGTGGAGAAATGACCATGCACTTAAACACTGCTAGTTCCTCTTCTATTTTTTTTAATGTCCATAAAATGCTGAAATTAAGTTAATTTTCTTCATAGCATCCCATATAATTGCCATGTTTTAGATTTGTGTCCAGGGTAGGGAGGAAAGAGTGAGCAGCTGTGTCATGCTGAGCTGCTTGCAGGGGTTAACCCACAACAAATGCTTTTTATCTGATTTGTCCTCTGTGCATAGATATTGGAGGAATGGTGTCAGTGAGTGTGTCTGTATATTTAATTTCCCTGTTTTATGAAATATTTTTCCATGCCAGCAAATATGGAATATATTTAGCGCATAGAAGGGAACTAGAGATAAATGCATTATAATGCAAATTGTGCATAACAGTTATAATGAGACTAAATGTAATAAAGTGTAAGTCATAGTTCTAACGGCAGCAAAACAAATTTCTTTCAGAAGTGTTATGCTTCAGTCGAAGAATTGCCAAAATGGAAGCTCATAACTGTTTTATAGGTAATGGAAGTAGAATGACAGGTTATTTAATTCCATACAAACCAAAGGAATAAGAAATTCCTGTCTGATTGAGACTGATGATCCAGAGTGGTGACTGAGCATGGCAGTGTGTAATCTTGGCTACTTTCTATGCTGCCTTCCCTTTGGACTCTTCCAGCATCTACTGCTGTTTAATTCAAATTTTCAGAAGGTTTCTCACAACCGTTTTACAATCCCCCTATGGACCTGTCATCCATCGTAGTAAACAGTAAGTTTCCATTGGGTTTATCCATGACTTTCATGATGTTTTAAACTTCAGTTTTATACCCTCAGCCATCACATCTCCCAACTGCAGGGTCTTGGAGATGAAAGATGAGTAGCCTTCCTGGTCTTTCATCTCAAGATACCTTTCTACCTTCTCCTTGATTTTGGTTATCCTACTCTGCACTTTCTCTGACTCGTTTTGAGATGTGGAGACCAGAACTAAATATTACTGAATACATGAATGCATCAAGTTTTATGTAGTCAAAATTATGCTCTCTTTAAGCATCCTTCCTGATGATGCTGACTGTTTTGTTGGCTTTTATAGCTGCCTCCGCACTCAGAGCAGGAATTAGATGGAGCTGAGAGCTCAGCAGTGTTCTGACAGTCTAGTGGCAAAGCCTTCCTTTTGATTTCTAGGGTAAGTGTGAGATGATGCTTTCTTCAAAAGTCCTCTCAAGGCTTTATTTAGATCCATGACAGCCTTCGACTTTCTTGCAAAATACGCCTTTTCACATGCCCTTAAACTTCCCTTTTCTAACACTGACTTTTGAGTTCCTTAAGAAATGATGACAGAACAACAGAATAATGTAACACTTCTGCATTCCGTATGTCCTCCCTGTTTAAACTATAACAAACAGAGAACTCAGAAAGTTTCTTGAATAAACTCCTTATTTTGAATTGGAGCCAGTCTGACTCCCACTGTTACCATGTTAACCTAGAAATATTATATACTGTATTTTTCTGCATTTCTGAAGGTTTTTTTACGTGGCATGATGTGAGGAAAATAATGTGATGTAGTAGGAAATATTATGCGGTTTAATTGAACATGGACATGAGTCAGCATTGGACCCTTGTTGCCGTAAAGGCTGAGTGCATAAAGGGTGGATGCCCTAGAAAGAGCTTAGCTGTTTGGAATTTTGTGTGCTTTCTCCTCCCACACTGCCCCAACACACGAGAGATGTTCACAGATGCAGAAGACCTAGTAAAGACCTGCTAGGGAAGCTGGGTTTGGCTGGAAAAAAGTCTAATGGGGAATCTAATTGCATCTTTTCACCCTAAAAAAGTGAAGTTGCAGAACAAATAGAAATGAAATCTTCTGAGGGGTGCAGACTGAAAGGACAAGATGCAATATGAGAAACTTCTACTGAGATATAAGGGAAAAAACTTTCACTGGGTCAAGCAACTGGAAAAGGTTGTCCTGAGAAACTGGTCAAAGGGGTGTGAATGGACAAGCCTCTGAGAAACCCCACCTCACTGTGAACCTGCCTTCAGCAGGTTTCAATGGGTGACATCCTTTTAATCTCAAATTTTTTTTGAACCTGAGAGATTGCTAAAATGTGTGTTGGTTTCTGCAGATTTCTGAATGATCTAACATTTGTCCTGCTTACAAATAAACAATTTTAGCAGGATGTCTGAACCTTCAGTAGCATTTCACTGTCATACTCTTGGACAGTAGTATTGGAAAAAGTTGTGACTGTGTGTTTTGGAGTGCTATCATGGGTGGTGCTGTTGTATTCTGTTGTATTCTTCACACTCAGACACTTCAAAGCCTTTCTGTGTAGTGTCTTCCAAAATCACCCACCCTTGTTCTAACCCCACCAACCTCACCAATCACTGAAAATGCTGAGCAGTTTTCGAAATGCTCACCTTTCTTCTTAGAGAGAACTTCAGATCTCTTGGTGTGGAGAGAGGGAGGAGTGCAGTAAAATTGTTTTAAACAAGGATGCAGGAGATGCCAGTGGCCGTGGCAGTTCTCTTCAGTGCCAGCACTGCCTCCCCAGGCGGGTCTCTGTGTCCATGCAGCTGATCTCGTTTCTGCCTGCTGTCCCCAGTGCCATCAGCGTCACCTCCCAGCTGTAAATGAGCTGTTGCTGCAGAAGGAGGAGCTTGCTGGGAGCGACTGGGGGTACGGGGGTGTGAGTGGAGGGCAGGGATGATATGTGGCTCGTGGCTGCCACAGATGAGTGTGCCTCATTACTTGTGGTTACAGCACACTTTGCCAGCTGAGTCTGGTTTCTAGCCAGCTTGTTTCTGCAGAGGTTTCTAGTAACCACTGAGATCCTGCAGAGGTCTGAGCCACAGCAGCCTCAGAAACACCCTCTGTCCGACAGTGGGACCAAGGATGCCATGCTGTGGACTTTGGCAATGTTTGCCTCCGTGTCACCTTCTCCTTCATAAAGTGCTCTGTCAGTGCACCTTGCACATCAGTTTGAACTACAGCTCAAGCTACATTCAGGTGAACATGTCCTACATGGGTATTTGGTCTTTGGGAATGCTTTGGGCATTTGGTCATTTCCAGGACCAGCTCACCAAGGTAAGTGTGGACAACACTGGTGATGTTCTCCAGCAGTCAGTAGCTTTAGTAAAATTGTTCATTGAGCCCCTCCACAGACTTCTCCATACTTGCTCAACATATATTTAGTACCAACTCTAGTGCATTAAGCTACTGGATGTAAATAAATAAAGGATCATCAATTTATATGGTCTGCTGTTTCTTTGTGTGTGTATATAGGATGACAAAGAAGCCAACAGACCCCTGCCAAACAAAGGAGACCATGGACTAGGAAATGAGAAATTCAAACCTGTGGTACCTTGGCCTCATGTTGAAGGTGTGGAAGTGGACTTGGAATCCATTCGAAGGAAAAATAAGGCCAAAAATGAACTAAATCAGCATGGTGTTGATAACAAGCAGCAAAACATCCTCCAGAGGCAGTATCTCACATTTAAACCTCAGACATTTGTATACCCAGATCCTGTGTTACGACCTGGAGTCCTTGGTAATTTTGAACCCAAAGAGCCTGAGCCTCATGGAGTTGTTGGTGGCCCTGGAGAGGAGGCGAAGCCATATGTTTTAGGACCAGATTACAAAGAATCCGTTCAAGCCAGCATTAAAGAGTTTGGGTTTAATATGGTGGCAAGTGACATGATCTCGCTAGACCGGAGCGTTAATGACTTGCGTCAAGAAGAGTAAGCAAACCTTTTGTTTTCTTTCCGTTCTGTTTTTATGGGATTCAGTTATTTGCTTTCCATATATCTGAATTGACGCTTAAAATATTATTTATTAGGCCACTTAATGTTTCTTGTACTGAAGGCATGAGTGCTGTACTATACCATGTTTCCATATATTCTTCTTAATGCTGTTGCAATTATTCCGTCCATGAATACCTAAGCTGTAGTGATTTATCTCTGAAACCATGTTTTAGTGTCAAATTGCATGTATTTGCATGTTCCATGTCTAGCCATAGTCTTCATTGTCATATCTTTTCTTAATCCATAACTTCTTAAGATTTGTTTTCAAGAAGGAAGGATTGCCTTTATGAGACATCTCTCTGCTAGTTAGTTTTATTTAGTTTTGATTTACCCTGATGCCTTTAAAATGGAGCACAGAGAACAGAAACAAAGAAATATTATTCTCTTTAAATAACACTGCCTAATTACCTGCAGTAACGGAAGTATGGATCTGCCATAGTGATGGTTGGAATAGTCTTCCAACAGTTTCTCACAGCATTTGCCCTAAAAAGGAAAGCAGTCTTAGAAAATACATTTTTTTACTTGCTAATAAGGTATCTAATTTGTTGTGAGAAAATTCTGGAAAGTTACTAACATCTGCTCAAGAGTTACTAACAGGTTTACACAATCTGTTCTGACTTTTGATATATGTTGAAGCCAATTTTGCTCTCAGGTTAATCTGCATTTGATATAATTTTTCTTGTTAAATATCAGTTAGGAATGGGTTTCTAAGCAAACTGATTTAATGGCAGGGTATTTTTAGTCTGTTTTTTGGTTGGGGGCAGTGTATGAAGTTAGCTATGATGTTAAGTACTTCACAGTTTTCACTTCCCCCTCATCCGCAGCAATGGAGCTTCTGTGCTGATCCCTGGACTGGGTACCAATCTCTGGACTGTATGTTTCCAGTTGTGGTAAATAATCTGTTGGTGGTTCACTGACTGGTTACTGGGGCTCTGCTCTGGGCTTTTATGGTGGATGTTTTTTACCTTTTGCAAGGTAGGAGAGAACTGGCCAGCTGTGGGTCTGACTCATAACCCGTGCACATGCTTGAATTTGCTATGTGGGGTGCACTCCCTGAAAGCAACTGAAGCACACAGAGCACAGAATTTCACTTTCCTTCATGCTGTGTTCCTCAGGTGGCTTGCTAAAGGTTTCCACTTTCTGGCAGTCAGAGGAGAGGACTATGCCTGTCTGCTATTGGTGACAAGGAAGTGCCAGCTCTCCTGGGGGTTCACTTTGCTCTTCTTTCTTTGCTGTGGTCAGAAGTTGGTCCTTCATACTACAGAGATTTTTCTGAAAGGCAAGGAATGTTCTGGGTAACCTGTGTAGGTCAGCATTTTCTTTTTAGGAGGTTATTCTCTAGACATTGCTGCTTCTACTGAAGCTTTTCTTCACTCTGTAAGGACAGCAAATCAGAGGTGGCAACGTGTCACGTGCAGGTGGGACTGTGCTGCCTCTGCCCAGGTGAATTCTAGCAGCAAAACTCAAATACTCCTCTTCATTTTTAGTCAAGGTAAAGGGCATCAGACAGCATATGGTATCTCTCAAATAGTTTCACACCTGTAGGTTCCTGAAGTATTTTTGACATGATCTCAGAATTTGTCTTCTGTTCTGAAGGACATTAATAAATAGATAGTCCCAAAAATTATTAAATACTTTGAGGAAGAGGAGGGACAGCCATGAAAATATGAATTTTAGAAACTGTTTCCTTCAAGCACAGCTGCAGATAAACCTTTGTGAAGTCAAAGCCACCAGCTCAAATCAGTTAGGTTTTAGTATTTAATGATTTAATGTTCTAAGCAAGCAAACAAAACAGCGTGAAAAAAACAATGTAAACAAAAGATATCTTTCAGACAACTTTATATCCCTTACTTGGGATGTTTGCAATTGCCTAAGTTGAAGGTTTATAGTTTCTGCATGTCTCCTGGGAACAGAAGAGAAGGAGAGCAATATGAGATTGGCTGATATTGCTCTATGCTTTCAGGCTCCCACATGCTCACTTTCCTACTCGCCCCAATAGCAGAGAGAAATGCAGCAAAAGGTAGCAGAGTACCTATTGGATGCACCATTTATTTTTCCTCACACTGATCTATTTAAAAAGACATTTGTGCTGGTAAGGCTACTCAATATTCACTTCAGTCCTGCCAAAGAGCAATATAGTAATCTTGTTGTTATTGTTAGTAGTATCTTGGCATTCTTAATTGAGAAAGATCTTTCTGGTAAAATCTGAATTATTTGTTCATAAAGAGAGGGCTCCCTTCAGCCCTCTCTTTCTTCAAGCATCAGAATTTTGAAGCATTACCCTGTGCAGTCAGGTTTGTTCAGTGAAGTATGCCAAATGCTTTCCTAGGCTGTGCTAGCAGAGTGAAATAGTGCTGTGAGAACTGTCTCTCTCAGCTTAAAAGCCATATCGCCTCAGGGCTTGTCCCTGCTGGAGGGAGAAAAGGAAAGAAATGCCAATAAAGGGAGATTCAATTCTGCTATGCTTGGATTTGACTTTGTAGTCTGACATGTTGCCAGGATGATTTGCCAGCTGCCTTTATTGATTCAGTAGGAACTTTGCTGGTGATCCTGGGCAGTCTCAGCTGCTGTAAAAAGCCTTAATTCTTGCTGTATCCCATAGAGAGGAATGAATATGGATGGTGTGTTAAAGTTTTTTGTCAGGTACATCAGAATATTTCCATTTTGCCAGTAACACATACTCATGGATTTTAACCAATATATTCCAGCGTTGATGCCCAGCACTTGTGTTGACATACAGCAAGTCATAAGTTTGGTTTAAAAAATCAAGAATGTATGGGGGTATGTAAAAGTCAATGTACAAAATTTAGAAGATGGCTCATCTCACTGCAGTCTTTCAGCACTCTGCAGGAGGGCCAGGGGGAACATAAACTGGGTTAGTAGAGAAATACCTGTTTTCTACCTTTTTTCTAGTGGCAGAGAAGTAGAGCAGGCTTAGTAGGCCCTGTCTAAAATTCTGTACAGTAGCTGGAATAAATTTTTTTCTTTAAACTTAGTGATTTTTACCTTTTTTGGATCTATTTTTATCATCATGATAGGTGGCAGCCCCTTAAGAGCAGTCGTTTATACTGGATTTTATACATTATCCCTACTTCCTAGCAGACCTGCCATAAAATAATTGTTAGCTTTTGGGAAGAAGGATATTCAGGACTCTGCACAGAGGTAGAGCTGAAATAAAAATAGAGTGATAAATTTTCTGGATTATTTTGGATCCAAGATAAAAAGGGACCTAGGTTTGAAGGTGAATGCTGCCAGGTAACAAGGTGTGTCTTCTCAAAAAAAAAAAAAAAAAAAAGCCTGTGGAGAATTACTGCTAGGAATAACAAGAATCAAGTTGCTTAACCAGTATAATGATCCACTTGCCCAGAGTATTTTAAAATTAAATTTAATTTTTAAACTTCATCTATACTTGATCTAACTGGGGATTGTTTCTTTTGACAACTTTAGCTCTGGCCAAAAACAGATGCTGGTGAGAAAACATACAAGAACGGATAAGCGTCATTCCTGGCAACCAGTGCACTGGGGCACTGGAGCCAAAAATTGCAACAGGGTTGTCATGCTTCAGAGACCTCTTTCTGTGCACAGACTTGTCTTTTGAATGCATTTATAGTCTTGAAATTAATGACATCCTTAGTCAGTGACTGCAGAATGTGCTGCTTGTTTTAACCTCTTCTCCCAGATACAGATACTGTTATGTGCCTCTGTGGCTCTGCTGCCCTGTGACATGGGAATATCAGAGATAGCTCCATGAAGGTCCTATATAAATGTTTCATGTTCCATCCTTATTGTTCCTGCTATTTCATTTCCCTTTTCGTTAACTCTGAGCTAAAATTCTGAAAAACTTCTTCACATTTGACTCCCAGATTTTTTTAACTTTTATTTCCCCAGTGGTAATGCAGAGTTTGGGATCTGTCTAAGTCTATGCACTGAGTGGTCTAACACTCCATTTGTACTTGCACTGAGCTCTCCTGCTAGCTCATTTCCTTGATAGTGTTGAATTATTCTGCAGCTGTTTATAGTCATTTTAATTGCAACTACCAAGAACTTTCCTATTGTTCAGCAATGACCTGGAAGAAGAGGTGGACTGCTAAGCTCCCAGCACAGTCATTTATGCTGCTAAAGTCGCAAACTTGCTTGCAATTTGGAATTAATAGACTTTAGCAGTTACTAGCCTAAGAAATCTGCCATAGTTTGAAGAACTGTACCTGTAAAGAAAGCAAAGGACCTCATCAAATGCTTTGGAAATTCAATTACTGTATTAATAGCCTCACTCATGTCCACAAAAGTTTTGATTTTTTCAAAAGATGATAATATTTTTCTATGGCCTGCCTTTTTTCCACAAAAGCTGTGTCTATGGTTTACTAATGTTCTTATTTATTACTAGCTTCTATTCAGCACAGAAGTCAGACTTATTGGTCTGCAATTCTTTAGAACCCCAGAGCCCTTTGATAAAAATTGGTATTGTGTGTTCCTTTGTTTAAGACTGGAGTCAGCAGTACAGTACAAGAGTTTGTTAACTCATGTTGCATTGTTTAGGAAGTACGGGGTTTATTTTAAAAAAAGGCAGTAAGGCTATTCATGGCAGAAAAATCCAGAAGAAGCTATCATGCAGATTATCTGAAGATAGGACTATTTAGTAAGAGCTATCACTGTGTACTTGTCCTTTATTTTACTCTCTTCTCAAGGTATCTGGCACTGGGCACTGCTAGGAGTTCAATGGAAATACTTAATTTAGATTTCCTGCTTCTGAAGTAGGCTCTTTTCATTTTGCTCATGTATCAGCCCAACACACTTTCTGGCAGGCATCATACTTCTAGTGTTTGAAAAAATATTTCAATTGCAGCTTTCATACTTCAATAAGCTATTTCTCAAACCTGGGTTTTGGGAGTTTGGGGTTTTTGGTTTGTTGGGGTTTTTTTGTGTGTGTGTTGGTTTTG